TTTTTTTGGTTTTTCGAGACAGGGTTTCTCTGTGGCTTTGGAGCCTGTCCTGGAACTAGCTCTGTAGACCAGGCTGGCTTTGAACTCACAGAGATCTTCCTGCCTCTGCCTCCCAAGTGCTGGGATTAAAGGTGTGCAACACCACCACCCGGCCATTATTTTACTTTTTCTCTTACCCTTTTTGCTCAAAATCATCCCAACTAGAATTATGGCCACGTATCTCACTTTACAGAAAAGCAGAAAGGAGCTGGGATGTGACTTGCTGAACTCCCTGGGTTTCGTCTCCAGCACAACAGGGCTGCAGGAGATAGCTTCTTGGTCGAGAGCGTGAGGGCACATGTGAAGGAGCTCATTGGCACCACATGTCTGTATTGCCAGCATTCAGGGGGCTGAGGCAGGTGGTCATGAGTTTGAAGCCAGCCTGGGCTTCGTCGTAAAACTGTCTCAAGGGAAAGAGGAAGAGAGGATTGAAGGCCTCACGAGCCATGGTAGCAGGGAACACACATTTGTGACCCCACCGACTGCTCAGGAGGAACACCAACTTGTCTTAGTTCCTTTCCTGTTGTGATAAAAGCCTGACCAGCGTGCCTTACAGAAAGGGTTATAGGCTTACAGGGGCAGAGGCCAGCGTCCATGGTGGCTGAGCCGCACATCTTGATCCATAAGCAGGAGGCTAAGAAAACTCACTGGGAATGGTGGGAATCTCTTGAAACCTCAAGCCTGCTCCCAGCGACACTCCTCCCCCAGTAAGTCCACACATCCTAAAACTGGGACCATTCTCACTGAAGTCTTCAAACCGCCGGGCTGTTAGAACAGGTACCAGGCCAGCCTAGGTAAATTACTGACTTCTAATTCACGTTTTGTTTTTCTTTGTTTTGTTTATTTATTTATTTTGAGATGAGATTTTTGCTGTGTTACTCAGGCTGGTTTTTAAATTCTTGGGCTCAGGACATGCTTCCTCCTTGGCTTCCTTGGCTCAATTTACTGCGTTTTTTGTTTTTTGTTTTTAAGATTCATTTATTGTGTATACCATGTACTGCCTGCATGTATACCTGCAGGCCAGAAGAGGGCACCAGATCTCATTTATAGGTGGTTGTGAGACACCAGGTGGTTGCTGGGAATTGAACTCAGGACTTCTGGAAGAGCAGCCAGTGTTCTTAACCGCTGAGTTGTCCCTCCAGCTCCTAACTCAGGCTTTAACCGCAAAGGTAAAGGTAAGTGTTTTTCTTCTTTCCTTCTGAAAAGTTTCTGCACTCCATAAGTCTCTCCATCGTCGCAATAATCCGAATCAGACTAAATCAAACTGAATTAGAAAAAGCCCAGGCTTAAAGGATACCAACTCTGGGATGGCTTTCCAGCCCCCCACCCCCACCCCCAGTGAGGAGATCAGAAAGGAAGATGGGAAAACCACGTGTTTGTTTGTTCTCTGGGGGTTAGTTTAGATACCCTTTGGCAGTGGTCTTGAGTATCTCTGGGGTGGGGTCATCCTTTGGCGGGCTTTCTTGGGGATGGAGTCTGGACTGAGGCAACTCCCAGGGGTGAGGGCTTGGAATACTCTTTGGGTTTGTGGATGCCAGGACCTGAGGTGCAGCTTACACCCAAACACCTTCCTTTTTTCCTTTTCAGTGGTGGGGGTAGAGCTGAGGGTTTGATGCACGGTAGTCCAGCGCTGTCCCGCCGCTAAGGCTGAGCCACACCCGACTTTTCCTGTGTTTTCCTATGCAGTCTCCTATCCACCTGTAGGTTAGGGAGCAAAAACACCACTCAGCACTGAGGGTAGTAGTAGCTGGGTGTCATGGCGCACTCAGGAGGCAGAGGCAGAAGGATCTCTATGGCTTTGAGGCCAGCCTGGTTTACATGGCGAGTAGGTTTAAGGTTACCTGAAGCTATGCGCTGAGAATCTGTGTGTGTGTGAGAGAGATCTTGTTCTAGCTGTCAGAGCTAATAGAATGAGGCCTGTGATGGTTCCATGTGAAGACTGTGCTTCCATGTGAAGACTGGAGAACCAGGGGGAATATAGTGCTGTTTGTATCTGAAACCTAAATTCTGGTATTTGAGATCTTCTCTCTCTCTCTCTTTCTTTCCTTCTGTGTTGCTCTGCTCAGAGGTTCCCTCAGGTCAGAAGTGTCAGATCCACTGAAGTTGAATTATAGGCAGTTGTGGGCTGCCTCATGCGGGTGCTGGGAATTGAATCCCCATCTTCCCCAAAAGCAACAAGTGCTTCTAACTGCTGATTCATCTCTCCAGCCCTTGTTTTGTTCAAAAGAGGAAGCAGGTACTTGACTCTAGCAGTTCCTTTGTCAAATGACACAAACTAACTCGGAATTCCAGACTCGAGAATTTTGGAAGAAGTCTGTTTTCCTGTACTTACGTCACACGCACAGACCTGGGTTTTGATCAGTCGAGGATGTTTCAGTAGTTCTGGACTTGGGCTCTGGACTTGAGTTTGAATTCCACTCTATTATTTATCTGTTGTGTATAGTTGAGTGTAAGAAATATCAAATGAGTCGGGCAGTAAGGCGCATGCCTTTAATCCCAGCACTCGGAAGGCAGAGGCAGGCAGATCTCTGTGAGTTCGAGGCCAGCCTGGTCTACAGAGAAATTCCAGGACAGGCTCCAAAGCTACAGAGAAATACAGTCTCAAAATAAAATAAAATAAAAAATACCAAACGTGATTTTTCTCTATCAACTACTATAAAATGTGTTTAGGACAAGGAATTAAAATACTTTTAATTTCTCTTTCCAAGTAAGATATTTATGCAAAATGTTTTCATTCCCCCTCCTCTGTAAAACCTTTGTTCACACAAAGGCCCACTACTCTAGTCTAGGAATTTGATAGTCTGAAGCAGTGGCTCCTCGCCGCCCCCCATTTCCTGTGCTCCAATTCTTTTCAGACTAGCTAACTGAATAGGATTTTGAGGCCAGATCCCAGCCAATGGGGAAGACACTGTCACCATATGCACTAGAATAAAAACCCAAACCTTTACTTTTGTGTTTGCACTTTCAAGTCCTACCCCCTACTCCCCCGCTTGGAGACAGGGTTTCTCTGTTAGCCCTGGCTGCCCTGGAACTTGTTCTGTAGACCAGGCTGACCTGGAACTCAGAGATTTGCCCGCCTCTGCCCCCTGAGTGCTGGGTTTAAAGGCCTGAGCTGTTGTAGAATATTATTTTAAGATGAGTTACATTTGTTTATGCTGTGGAACATTTGTTTAGTGATGCAAAGATGTGTTGCATTCTTTTTTTAAAAATTTATTTATTGGGGGCTGGAGAGATGGCTCAGTGGTTAAGAGCACTGCCTGCTCTTCCAAAGGTCCTGAGTTCAATTCCCAGCAACCACATGGTGGCTCACAACCATCTGTAATGAGGTCTGGTGCTCTCTTCTGGCCTGCAGACATACACACAGACAGAATATTGTATACATAATAAATAAATAAAAAAAATTTATTTATTTATTACGTATACAGTGTTCTGCTGGTATGTATGCCTGCGCACCAGAAGAGGGCACCAGATCTCATTAGAGATGGTTGTACATCACCATGTGGTTGCTAGGAATTGAATTTAGGACTTGAATTTAGGAATTGAATATAATTGAATTTATAAATGCTAAGATCCTGCATTTATAAGTAATAATAAGACTCTGTATTTATTTGGTGACTGGGTGGTGGGTCCTTGAAGAGTAAAGAGTGAAAACAACAAGGTTTGCCTTTCCTTGTGACTCTGAGCTTATTTTCAACATTGAGAATCTCAGCTTCTCACTTAGTGGTTTTGTTTTAAGAGTCTCATGCTGTTTAGGATGGCCTTGAACTTTTGATTCTCTTGCTTCCACCTCCAAAGTGCTGGAACTAAAGGTTTGAGCCCTACAACTCACATTGTTTATTTTTGAGACAATGTCTTCATATTGTAGCAAGGGTTGGTTTTGAATGTGAGATCCTCTTATTTCAATCTCCCCAATACTGGGAGATCAGGTTTGCACTACCACACCCATAAGAGTTCTTAGAAGATTCTTTTTCTTGTTTTTTTTTTTTTTTTTTTTTTTTTTTGAGACAGGGTTTCTCTGTGTAGCCCTGACTGTCCTGGAACTCACTCTGTAGACCAAGCTGGACTCAAACTCTGAAATCTGCCGGCCTCTACCCCAGGAGTGCTGAGATTAGAGGTACCGGCTGCCAGATTCGACTATTACAAGATTCTTAGAGGATCAAATGAGAAGCTGAAAGCATTTAGCAGTATTTGAGGCAGAACTGAGTTGTAGTTTGTGGTGGAATGCTTGCCTCGCACCGGTGATCCCTGCTTTGATTCCTAGCACAGCAAAACCAAACAAAACCTGTGAGGTGGATTCAGCTTACAAGTTAGTGGAAAGGACAATAAATGAAATCTCATTTGGGAATTACTGGAAGGCTTTATTGGGGCAGTGGGATTTTAGTAGGAACTCGAGGATAAACAGCGGGATAGAGACACAGGACGGGTGAAAAAGTGCAACTTTGCAGCCTGTGTGGACTAGAAAAAGACCAGACAGCAGTCCTTGCCAGCGGAAGTAAAAGCAGAGTGGATTTAGGACTGACACTTCCAAGGGAACAGTGAGCAAAGCGTGAGCTTCTAGGAGTCTTTTTACCCTGAGGCTAGTAGTCCAGGCTAACTGCGACTTCACACAGTTTTGGCCAGAGTCAACTTCCCAGCCAGAAAAACCACACCCACCAAGTCTTCAGCAGGACTGGAAAGTCGGAGGAGACAAGGAAGCCGTGGGACTGGCGTGGGTTCGTCGTAGCCAATTTTCCAGGGCGCAGGAGGAAGATCAGGATGGCATAAAGCAGACCCATTGGCAGTTGAGAGTTCAGAGGAGGCCTCCCAGGCTGAAAAGACGAGGCTTTACAGCACACAAACGCTACCAGTTCGGGTTGAGGAAATTTGGTCAGTGTGCGCGTCCTCTGTTAAAAGGAGAGAGGGCGCCCCCTGGGAACAGTGCTGGGTAGAGATGGTGGGAAGACCCAGCCGAGGACAGGAGAGGGGTGGGGGTTAAGATGGGGGTAATCTACTCGTCAGTTTTCTTCCCACAGAAGCTAACTGTCCGGCATGATGGATTCCTGGGCTTCCTAAACGACGGGGATGGAAGGGGCCTCGAAAAAATGAGTGCCGTCACATGCTCCGTACCAGAGCTGGTTACTTTCTTGAACACTTTTAACGTTAACTCTGCTTGGAGGTGAGTATTATCATACCCCCTTTCGGGTAAAAAACTGAGGTTTGTTGACTTCCTAAGGCAGGAAGGAGATTTTGTACATTCCAAAGTCTTCTTCCTTTGGTCGGCCTGACGTGTAAGGTATTGATTTGCAAAGGTCTGGGAGAAGTAGCATCGTGTGTGAGAAGCCCAGGCTTCTAAGGGACAACAGCGTGGGTGTACTTTCCGGCGAGAACCACGCCTCCCTTGGCGCAACAATATTGGTTACGGTTGCTTTCTTTTAAAACATGAAATCCTCACTATCCGAGAAGGCCGACATTCTAGACTCCCTGATCACCCCGATGTTTCTCTCTCACCCACACTGGTTCCCACAGGTGACATCAATTCTCCACGGGAGAATGAAAGCCTGAGACTACATTTCCCTGCAAGCCTTTGGGAAAAAAAAGCCAGGAGAAAATAGACTTTCCGTTTCCGTTCGCTTGCAATTTGGCGTGTTCACGGTGATACATATTTCAACAGCTAGAGTCCTTTCTCTGTACAGCTAAAGAAGAGACTTCATACCCCAGCAGGTACTGGCACGGAGGGAAAGTGACTAGGTTGCCATCTCTACAGCAGTCCTTTCCTACTTATCCGCAGAGACGAGCCTTAGCGGTTGGACTACAAGTCCCATAGCATCATCTGCTCCTACACCCGCCATCTTTGCGGTATTCCCCGCCCCTCTCGCTTCCATTGTCTCGACAGAAGATAAAAGAGGGGAGCGGGGACGACTACAATTCCCGGCAGGCTTTGCACTACCGAGTGCGGGATTTTGATAGTTCAGGCAGGCGAGGCGCTCCAAGTGGTAGAATGAAGCGACCAGGAAAGGTTAGGTATCCTGCCATCTTTATGGTAGTCTCTTTATCCTCCTGGTTCTGGCACTCTTAAGGAATACAGGAAGGTTAGAAAACTACTATTCCCATCCCACTTCATAAAAACCAATTTATTAGGTGTACGCCCCTCGTTCGCCATCTTGCTTGTAGTCCTTGTTCCTTTTCACCTTTCCATTGTTCCTGACGAGTAGAAATGGCAGCGGGAAGGCAGCAGATGGACTGCGACTCCCGTCAGGTACCACACACGCGGAGGGTTGTGGACCAGAGGGCGTGTGAGTGCCTGGAAAGGAGGTCGGGTCGGGAGAAAAGGCCATCTTGTTTGTAGTCATCGTTCCCGCTCCTTCTCTATGTCCTGCTACGGGGAGTCTCTGGTCAACTGGACTATAATTCCCGCCATGCTCGGCTCCCAGCATGGCATGCCTTTCGCCATCTTAGTTGTAGTGCCGGCTGGCCCCAGTATCCCATTTTTCCCACGATAGCGCCAGAATTTGCAGGACTACATCTCCCGTCGTGCTTTGCACGTGCTTGTCCTGGAAAGTAGAGCTGGTGGAGGAAGGAGGGAGAAGGGGGCGGGGTTCCTTTGGGAGAAGGAGGGAGTAAAAAGGAGGAGGTGGGAAGAAGGGAGGGGAGAGGGAGGAGAGGAGGAAGGAGGAAGGAGCTGAGGAGGGATGAGAGCGGCGACCAGGGCCTGGAGCCGAAGCAGCGCGAGGCTAGGGGACTAGGGGTGCTGAAACACCCCAACTGCCCCCACCCCTTTTCTGCCTCTGCCTCACCCTTTCCTTACACCCTCCCATTTTAGGAGAGGATTTATTCAAATTTTATTTAAATCCCTATATCTTGAGGGTCGCGCGTTTGAAGGGGGGAGGGCGGGGGCGCGCGCAAGCTGGGGGGGCGGGGCCGGAGCAGCTTCCTTCACCCCCCCTTGCGTGCCCTGTCTCTGTAGGTCAGGGGGCCGCAGTACAGGGGCGGACCCAGGGGAGGGGGGCAGGTTGCAGCGACCCCCCCCTCCCCGGGAACCGGCGGTGGGCGGGGTTTGAACCCCGGAAACGGTGGGGGGCCCCGGGTCTGTCCCTGGACCCCTGGTCAGTTGGAGCTGGGAAGGGGCCAGTTAAGGGTCGGGGGCTTTGGGGAGAGGTGGGGGTGGGGAGCTGAGACTCATACCCGGGACTGAGTGGGGCCCGGGCAGAAGCTGAGCACCCTGCGCCCGAGGAGCCCCCGTTGGCCTGGGGGGGCTGAGGGACTGAGCCCCCCAGAGCAGGACCTCCCCCTGGAAGGGCCGCGCCGCAGTCCGTGGGAGGGCCTCGCCCCCGGCGCTCCCCATCTCCACTCGCTGCTGTCCCGGCCTCCGCCGGAGGGAGGGGCCGAGCGCCCTCGGGGGGCCGTGGACCCCGGCGTTCTGAGCGTTCCGCGCCCCGCGCCGCCCGGCCCCCCCGCCGCCGATGGCCGCCGACCCGCCGGGAGCTGCCGAGAAGGGAGAGATGGCTCCCGGGACACGTGTGAGGTGGGTTCATGCGGCTCCTCCTCACCCCCAGACCTGGGCAGCTCCCACTCCCATTCATCCTCAGCCTGGCCTCTCCCTGCCTTCCCCGCCCCCAGCCTCACCCTCCCTGTGCTCCAAACTCTTCTCCAACCTTCTTCCTTATAACCTCCCAACCCTAGGGAACTGGCCTTCCTTCCCCGACCCTGCTGCCCCTTGCAGACCTCCCCCTCCATCCCCCGCCTCCCATCGCCGCCCTCTAGGCCCCTCCCCTGGAGTGCTGGAGGGCCCCATACCCTGTGGATGGTCTGGAAGTCCTTGGAAAGGGAGAAGCCTGGGGAAAGCAGCTCTAAGACTGGTTGGGAAGAGACCCCTCCAGGCTTGCAGAGTCCATGTGGGATTTCAGAGGATCTGGTTTCCATGGGCATGAGAGCCCCAGGGATTCCAGACAATTAGGGATGAAAAGCAGCCTGGTAAGATGTGGGGTAGTGGGGGGGGGGTGTCTAAAACCGAACCCACCTTGAATTTTGTTGAGATGTTAGGCTGGCTCGTAGAATCCCAGGGAACCCGGGAGATTACCCAGGCTGCTTGAGGGATCCTCTTGGATATCTTGGAGCAGAAGGCTTTCTGTGCTGGCTGAGAAGGGTCACTTAAGCATCTTGGGGTGCCAGTCCTGGGAAGTTGAGAACACAGTGGGTCATTAGAAATGGAGAGAATCTCGTTAGAGTACCGAGATTTGAAAGGTTTGAATGACCGGGACCCATGAGAAAGAGAAAGGAGAGGGAGAAAGAAAAGTGTGGTCTTTGCCCCCTGCCATCTGGAGGTAAATCTGTGACAGCATGGGATGTGTGGCTAACAGGTATGAGTTGGAAGCTCCCTGAGGTCATGCTGCAGACGGGAAGCCTTTTCCGGGAACCTGGGCTTGGGAGGTTAGAGGAGGGGCCCCAGTGTGTCTCCTTCCAGGGCTTGGGAATAGTAAGGCCTAGGGAATGTTAGGGGAGGGAGGTCTTGAGGAGTGGGAGTGGCCCTCTGCTCAGGACACGCACTAGAGGGCTGACCTTCTTGGAGGGTAGAAATAGAAGCTCTGCCCCTCCAGAGGTGCTGGGAGCTTGCGTCCAGGATTCTCTCAGGCCAGCTTAAGCGGGCCTGTCTGACTTTACCCTCATCTGCCCACAGCCCTCGGCGTTGCTGACGCCCCCAATGTCGTCGAGCAGCCGGGGGCCGGGGGCCGGAGCGCGCCGACGCCGAACCCGCTGCCGTCGCTGCCGGGCCTGTGTGCGAACTGAGTGCGGGGATTGCCACTTCTGCCGAGACATGAAGAAGTTTGGGGGGCCCGGGCGCATGAAGCAGTCGTGCCTGCTTCGGCAGTGCACTGCGGTGAGTCTTGCCTCCACCCCCACCCCCACCCCGTGCCGGGTACCTCGAACCCCAGGCATCCTTCCCCAGAGCACCATTAGTAGTATTGGTCCGAGTACTCTTGGGGTGTCTGGTGACTGCCCCCCGGGATGTACAGTACACGCGGTGAGTCTTGCCCCCCATTTCTGGTATCTTGGAGCCCAGGTATAGACCCAGAAGGGGTCTACTGGGCTGCATCCCTGAATGTACCTTAGAGGCGCCATTTGCTCATTCAGCCACTTCCTGTCTTCCTTCACCGATTTGTTTAAATGTCTGATTTTTGTCTTTTTCACAAAGTGAGGTACCCAGAAGAATCTGCCTCAGGTCTATAGAAAACTGAACCCCTGCTGTAAACCCCTGCCTGGGTATCTGTGCAAGAGGAACCCATCTCTACCGCCAGAGAGTAGTTCTTGCCTTTGTCTGGCCTCTTTCACACACCGCAAGTTTCTTGAACTTGAGGCCAGGACCCCCTTCTTGTGACCTTGAGGAAATCACTGAACTTCAAGTACCTTCTCTGTAAAACGTTTCTTTTGCCCAGTTGTACAGATTAGACCGTAGTGTGCTGTGAATGCCCTATTGAAAGGCCCACGACACAGCAGTTATCTGGGAAACGTGGTGTCTTCCATGCCTCCCTCACCTTTGACGCATTCCTGGGCGCCATACCTCAGGAGCCACGAGAACAGGCTTCATCCTCGGCACACGTCCCTGCTCCTTCTCTTCCTGGTCCAGCCACTCCTTCCGGCTTGCACTCTCACCCTTTTCTTCCTTTGTCCCCCAAGCCTTTGCCCCACTTTCTCATCCTTCTTCCTTGATCTAGATCCACCGCCTTCAGCATCCCTGATAGGCCTCAATGTTCCCAGTGTCTGCCCTGAAGTTACATTGTCTGGAGACTGCTGCCTTTTCCCCTTCATTCCTGATCTGGTCTCACTGTGGGCTCCAGATCACTCTTTGGACTGTCCACTGAACAACCTTTGAATTACCCCCAGGCTACTGTTCTGTTTTCTGTAACCCATTCCCAGCATCATCATTTGCCTATGGCCTCTTCTGCTCCAGGCCAGTTAAGTTTCAGGATCACACTTGGTCTGGCTCCTGTGCTGAAAATTCCAATAATGGCAGTAGCTGTGTCTCTAACCCCCTCATGCTTTGTCTTGTTTTTTACAATGAGCTGCAAAGGAAAGATTCCCTCACTTTATATTAAAGATGCTAAAGGTCATCCTGGCAATAGGACCAAGTTAAGGATTTGGCTGCAGGATCTGAACCTACCTACAGCTGACACCGAAGAAAGTTTACCCTGTGGCTTGGTTTTGGGGTCTCTGATGCCTCCTCTTTCTCAACAGCCCGTGCTCCCACACACAGCTGTATGCCTCTTGTGTGGGGAGGCAGGAAAGGAGGATACAGTGGAGGGAGAGGAAGAGAAATTTGCTTTGAGCCTCATGGAGTGTACAATTTGCAACGAGATCGTCCACCCTGGCTGCCTGAAGGTGATAACTCTGGGGTGGGCTGAACTATCGGGGAGCAAAGAGGTAGGCCAGTATATCTCTGGGCGTATATTGGCACCTTCTGTTCATTGTTTGATCTCTTGCCTACAGATGGGAAAGGCTGAGGGTGTTATCAATTCAGAAATTCCCAACTGCTGGGAGTGCCCCCGATGTACCCAGGAAGGACGGACAAGCAAGGTAAAGCAGGGGCTGGGATAAGGGCAGGTGGGGGATCGGGAGCTAGGTGGGGCCTCATCCCCAGCTTACACCTTCCAGGATGCAGGTGAGGGGCCAGGGCGCCGTAGGGCTGACAATGGTGAGGAAGGCGCAAACCTAGGGGGTGGATGGAAGCTGACAGAGGAGCCACCACCGCCACCACCCGTGCCCAGAAGAAAGGGACCTTTACCTGCTGGTCCTCCCGCTGACGATGTGCCTGGGCCCCCCAAACGGAAGGAGAGGGAGGCGGGGAATGAGCCCCCAACCCCAAGGAAAAAGGTGAGCGGAAGGGTGAGGCCTGTCCAGCACATGGGATTCTAGGAGCTGTAGTCTTAGTCTGGTATGTGCTTTGGTTCTGGAGCCAGGCCCTGATTGACCAGGAAGCGAGGCTTTGTGAGTTCCCCCAGAGATGTTTGGGAGTTGTAGTGGGAGCTGTGGGTGGAACATGTTCACTATGAAGAAGAAAAGCAAGTATGGGGTAACTGGTACAGGCCAGGAATCTGAGAGACCTGCAGGATTAGGGAGGAGCTACAGAGCATGCTCAAACTACTACAGAGGTGGAGGGAAGGGCCCGAAAGAGCCTGAGGGGGAAGAAAGGAGCTGAGGAGCATGCTCAGTAAGCCAACACACTGATTACAAGGTTAGTGTGCTGAGCAGTCTTCCTGGGATGGGGGCTTCTGGGATTTGTGGTCCAAGAAGAGGTCGTGGACCTTAGTTTGGTAGTCAGTAATGGTTTCTAATGGAGTTTCTTTCTTCCCCGTGTCTATCTCCTTGCCCTGGTAGGTGAAAGGAGGCCGAGAGAGGCACTTGAAGAAGGTGGGTGGAGATGCCTGCCTCCTCCGAGGAGCGGACCCAGGCAGCCCCGGCCTTCTGCCCCCCAGGGTTCTGAATCCGAGCCAGGCATTCTCATCCTGCCACCCTGGGCTCCCTCCCGAGAACTGGGAGGTGTGCCGGGGACCTCCTCCTTCCCTCTCCCCCCCTTCCTTGCCCCACTCTCCGTAGGAGACTAAGATCTGTCCCTTCCTGCTCACTTTCTCTTGCCCTAACCCCACATGGTCCCTATGGACCCCTGGAAAGAGGTGGGTGGGAAAATAGACTGGGTCCAGGTCATAGAAACCCTTGGTTTCCAGCAGCCATTGGACTGGCATCTGGCCCATTTTTCTTAGTTTTCTAAGCCTAAGTGTAAAGAACTGAATTTATATTTCTGTCAGATCACTGGTTCTTTATATGGTCTTGGCAATTTGTTAGCTGCTCTGGGCTAACAAATGAGTTTTCTAATTTGTGAGATGAAGACAATTACTTACTTTGCCTCTTCTCCCATCCCTCAGCACTAGATAAATCCAAATAAAAGTAATGGGGCCCGGAGAAGTTAAAAGATGGGCCTAAGGTCACAAGGCAAAGCTAAAATTCTGATACTACTCTGCTCTGGTAATCTGAACACAAGGTTCTGCCTGACTGTCCAGATCCTCTACCAAACATCAGTTTGTAACCTTGGACAAGTCACTTAGTCTTTTTTTTTTCTTTGGTGGCAGGGAGGTTCGAGACAGGGTTTCTCTGTTGCTTTGGAGCCTGTCCTGGAACTCCCTCTGTAGACCAGGCTGGCCTTGAGTTTACAGAGATCTGCCTGCCTCTGCCTCCCGAGTACTGGGATTAAAGGTGCTTGCCACCACTGCCCGGCTACTTAGCCTTTTTGAGCCTCATTCAGTTTCCTCCTGTCTAAAAGGAGTAGTGTAAGTTGTCTCTGTATTAGGTCACTGTGAGGACCTGACTCAGAGAGCAAGGAGACTCTACACTAAGAAAGAATTACTGTTTGTTCCACGTGTGGACTTGTCTAGTCTAGCTGTTCTGTGCTGTAGATGGTGCAGCAGGACTTTCCATGTCACAGAATGGGAAGGCAAGCCAGCACTCCACACAGGGTCTCCTCTGGGAGGTTCATGCGCCATTGACTAACCCACCAGGCTGCCTGGACTTTGAATCCCCACTGTAGATAAGGAAACTGAAGTCCAGAGAGGGACTGTTTGGGAACAATTAGGAACTCAGGGCTGTCTCCCGGGCTCCTTATCCTCTGGTGACTCCTTCTGGGTGAGTGGTTGGGAGAATCATTCTGGGCCCTTGTACAGCCTAACCTGTCTCTCTGCAGAAACCAAAGCCACCTATGGCCTCGACTGAGGGACCCGCAGCGCCATCCCCATCACCACAGAGGGAGAAACTGGAGCGTTTTAAGCGAATGTGCCAGCTGCTGGAGCGGGTGCCCGATACCTCCTCTTCCTCCTCGGACTCGGATTCTGACTCAGACTCATCTGGCACCTCGCTGAGTGAGGATGAAGCTCCGGGGGAGGCCCGAAACGGGCGGAGGCCAGCCCGGGGTAGCTCCGGAGAAAAGGAGAACCGTGGGGGTCGGCGAGCTATACGCCCTGGCAGTGGGGGACCACTACTCAGCTGGCCCCTGGGTCCTGCTCCACCACCACGGCCTCCACAATTGGAGCGGCATGTGGTACGCCCCCCTCCTCGAAGTCCCGAGCCTGACACTCTGCCTTTGGCTGCTGGATCCGACCACCCCCTGCCTCGGGCTGCCTGGCTTCGTGTCTTCCAGCACCTGGGACCCCGAGAGCTGTGTGTCTGCATGCGAGTCTGCCGGACTTGGAGCCGCTGGTGAGTGTCCAGACAGGCCTGAGTTCCTTTGCTGCCATGCGTCTTGCTTACTAGGTGTCCTATAATAGGTCTGATTCTCTCTGAATCTTGGCCTTCCTTGGTGTCTGTTGTAATGTGATCCTTTCACCGGGACTGAGCTTCCTTAACCCTCCCCTAGTGACTTAGTGGAGAAGAGATAGTGGAGCCCGGAGTGTGAATCTGGACCCTGTGACTCCAACTGTTTCCCTTTAGCTTTTACATACGTTGAGAATTAGTGTGTGCAAGTGTGGTGTCCTGCGGTGTCCACTTCTCACGATTTGAGATCTCCTGAGAACAGTTTAATTTGGTCCCAGCTTTACTAAGGTAGCCCTTGCCTTCTAAAGCAGCCACACTTGGGCCTCTTGAACCAGCCCATCCCTTGAGCCCCCCCCATCCTCCAAAACCTGGCCCCCTTTCTGACCCTCTCCCAACAAGCTTCCTCCTCCGTCAGCCCCCCCAGCGTGCTGTTCCCTAATAGAGCACAAAGAGACCTTTGGCAAGTGGACAAGCTTTCATTATTTATTTTCATGTTCCCATCAGTTTCTGGGGGTGGGGACACATACTGAATATTGATTTTTATCTCCATATCCCCAGCACAGTACAAAAAGGCTGTATAGATTGATGTTCAAGAGATGTTTTTACAAAGTGAGTAAGTTCAAACTTTTTCCCAGGACTCAGATTCCTGTCGGGGCTTCAACAATGTTGCATCTCCAGCCCTGGGAGGCTGAGGCAGGAGGAGCCTGAGTTGGAGGCCAATCTTGGCTACATAATAATACTTTGTCTCAAAAAAAAAAAAAAAAAAAAAAGCGTGGCCTAGCAGCACCATGTGGGTTGAGGCTCACTGAGGCTTGTAAGTTAAGTTAGGGGCTAAATTAAAAATCCCACCCTCTTCCTTTGGGGCAGGATCTGGAGAGCTAGGACTTTGCCTTCTGGTGTCTTTGGAGCCAGAGAGGCTGGTATGCAAGAGCCCGAGGCAAATGTCTCTGGTGACTGTTTGCTCCACTGAGTTTATGCCCTTGGGCTAGTTCTTTAACTTCCTCATGCCTGCCTGCCTGCCTCGCTTTCTGTTTTTATCTTCCCTCCTTCTTTCTCTGCAGCAGGAATTGAACCCAGGGACTGGCGCATAGGTCAGTCAGTCCTCCACCACCAAACTATACGCTGAGCCATCTTGCTTTTTATTTTTGAGACGAGCTCTCCAAACTGCATAGACTGGCCTTATGATCCTTTTACTCCCAAGTAGCTAGGATTACCAGTCTGCACCACCAGGCCTGGCGTCGTTTTCTTCACTTTTTTGTATAAAACCAGGATAGCTAGGTGGTGGCAGCATACGCCCTTAGTCCCAGCACTCGGGGAGCAGAGGTAGGTGAATTCTATGAGTTTGAGGCCAGCCTGGTCTATAGAGTTGAGTTCCAGGACAGCCAGGGATACACAGAGAAACCCTGTCTCAGCATTTCCCCCCCTTAAAAACAAAAAAACAAACAAACAAACAAAAAAAAACCAACAACACAGTGCTCGGGAAGAGTCCATAGACTGCATACAGGCAGACACAGGAGTTGCTGAAGGTACCCACACCCTCTGAGATGTAGTTACTGGGGTGGTACTTGCTTGTCCGTGCCTTTTTGACTGAATCTATGCTGACATGGGATCCATAAAGAGACCTGTAGCTGGAAATGGACAAAAGCAGGGAGGCCATTGAGGTCATAGTGTTTCCCATCTTGGCCCCTGCAGCCTAGCCCATGGCTTTCGTCCATGGTGACTTATATCTCTTATGGCCTCTATTTCTCACTTGTAGTCTGGGAAGTATATTTTAACGTAGTTGGAGCTCAGGTCCCAAGAAGGATCAGCTTCAAGATGCCCTTGTGATTCAGGATACCAAAATCCAAATACTCAATCTCTGGATGACTTACAGTATCTAATACAAAGCGAATAATATATAGATAGTTACTTTACTGTGTCGTTTAGGGAATAACAAAACATGTCTCCTTCGGTACATAAGCAATTTCTGTTTTGAATGTTTCCGTCTGTGGGTGGTTGACTCCTTAGATGCGGAACCTCAGATACAGAAGCCAAGTCCTGCTTACCTTGTGGGACTTAATGAGGCGGTTCCTGCAGACCGCTCAGCAGAGTGCCTGAGGGGACTGAGCCTTAGCAAATGGTGCCTTCAGGTGAGAAAAACCTGTAAGGACAGAGCAGAGGCCTGTGGGGACCACAGTGGGGGCGTTATCAGGAAGCTCTGGCGGATCTGGGCTCTGAAGCAGAGGCTGTAGGGAGAAGGGTACAGATTGAGACTTTGGGGAAGAGGTGAGGAGACAGAGTTTTGTCGTCAATTCAGAATCCTCCTGCCTCTGTATTGCACCAACATGCCTGACCTAAGTGAGAAGGAATGGCACCTGGGCTTGGGGGTGCAGGTCTGTAATTCCACTGCTTGGATGATTGAGGCAGAAAGACAATGGCAATTTATCAGACATTTCTCAAGATAAAAAGACTAGAAAAGTCGAGTGTGGTGGGGCACTCCTCAGGAGGCAGAGGCAGGTAGATCTCTGTAACTTGAGGCAAACTTGGTTTGCCCAATGAGTTCCAGAACAGCCTACATTTAAGGGAGGGAGGGAGGGAGGGAGGGAGGGAGGGAGGGAGAGAGAGAGAGGGAGAGAGAAAGAGAGAAAGGAAAGGGTGGGGGCTGGGGAGATAGTTCAGTTAGTAAAGTATTTGTTGTGAAGACCAAAGTTCCATCCCCAGAACCCATGTAAAAGGCCAGCATGAGACAAGAGAATTCCTGGGGCTTCCTGGCCAGCCAGCCTAACCTGATCAACAAGCCCTGGTTCTGGGAAGAGACCCTGTGTCAGAAAAACAAGGGGGGTGGGGGAGCAGCTGGAGAGATGGCTCCTGAGTTAAGAGCATGCATGGCTCTGGCAGAGGACAGCAGTGTGGAGTTGTGACTTAGGGTAGAGCGCTCGCTTATCACGGTCCTGGATCAAGCCTTCATACTGCAGAAGAGCGGCTTGGACGTGCTGACTCATTGGCTGTGAAGACGCCATTGTGAGTGCCAACTCAGTGTGACCCAGGAGCCTGGGCGGGAGGCAGTGGGATTCCTGAAGCTTGGTATCTCAGTGGAGAGTGAACTCAGATTTGATCTCTTTGGTTGAAAAACTTGTGAACCAGTCAGAGGCCACTGCTGAGGAAGTAAGGTCTGGCGCTGTGGTGAGAGTTTAGATAGAGCAGTGTGTTCTCCACCTTCCTGATGCTGCGACCCCCAACCATAAAATTATGTCTGCTGCTACTTCGTAACTGTAGGTTTGCTACTGTTATGAAACAATGTAAATATCTGTTTTCCAGTGGTCTTAAGCAACCCCTGCGAAAGGGTCTCAGCCCACAGGTTGAGATCTGCTGTGATAGGGAGCAGAGGCGGGACATGAGTGTGAGCTAGAGAAAACAACCCAAGAATTTGGGAGATCAAGGTGGGTCCTACAGAAAGGGAGACCCAGGAAGGAAGGGATGCCGAGCAGTGGTGGGTGTTAATGGGAGGTCACAGGAGATCCGTGACTAAAGGTGACAATTGGCTTTGCTATCTGAAGGGCTAGTGGAGGGCTAGTGGACTGCTTGCCTAATATGCAAAAGATCTGGATGTCTCCAGCCATACACACACACACACACACACACAAAAACCTTGCTATTCCTGACTGTGCTTAGAGGCGGGAGAGCCAAAGCCAGAGTCCGCCATCAGCTTCAAGTGAGGGACTTGGTCTAGTGATCCTGCTTAGACCCTGGTTTCCCAGAAGGCATCTGGCATTCCCTAGCTGCTAAGGCAGCACCGAGTGAATGAGCATAAAGGAAGAACGGGTGTGGGAAGAGGTAGAGAGGGTGTAGCTGGAGAGGGTTGTAAGCGGGAGAGCAGGCAGTTGCAGGCTTTCCTGTCTGGTGGCTTTGATTATTTAGAACTGGGAGGCAAAGGGGCGGGCAGGGGAGTTGTGGAGGAGGTGTTGAAGTACCAGGTAGACATTGCAGTTTTCAAGGACGTGGGCAGAGAAGGAAGTAGGAAGGACTGGCTCGTGGTCAAGGCTGGCTGGTGGGAGACTGGAGGACAGTGGAGTTTAGGAATCCCAGAAAGCTCTTAGAAAGGAAAAGCTAGCTGTGGCCTGTGTCCCCTGAGAGAGCACTCGGGGCTGGCCCAGCACTATCCCCAGGACCTTCTGCAAGATGAAGTTTGAAACTGCAGTGGAGGACAGGGGGGTGTGGGCTGGGCTGGAGTCAAAACAGGGATATCCATGCTTACCTATTCAAGACTCAGCTGGGTGGTGGTGGCACACACCTTTAATCTCATAGTCCCAGAACTCAGGAGGCAGAGGCAGGTGGGTCTCTGAGTTCGAGGCCAGCCTGGTCTACAAAGTGAGTTCCAGGACAGCCAGAGCTATACCGAGAAACCCTGTCTCGAAGAAGAAAAGGAGGAAGAAACAGAACGTGTGTGCGCCTCGTCTCTTGAGTGCCCTTTTCTCAGTGTCACCTCCCCAGCCTGAAAGACATCCATGGCATTCCTTCACCTTCGACCAGTCCGCAGTTCCCCTGGACATATGCCGGGCCCCAGGGAACCCTTCCTGTGCTGCTCCCTTTGTTGCTGTAACAAGCCTTTGAAGTCAGAACTCTTACCCCATTTTATGGCTTGGGAAATAGAGGCCCAGAGAGGTCTCCCCAAGTGTGGAGGTGGAAGGCCCGGGGTTTAGCCCTCCCCAGCTTAAACACTTCACCTCTGGTTCTGTGGCTGTGACTTCCCCACTGCCACCCTGGCTTCCTTGGTGGCCTCCATCCTGACTTTTTCCATTCAGGATCCAGGCTCCATCCACTTAATACCTGTGAGTCCTTGAACAAGGTTTTGTTTTTGTTTTTAATTTATTTATGTGTATGTGTGTGCTTGTGTGCGTTTATATGCACTAAAGGTGTGCGTGAGTGTGTTGGATCCCCTGGAACCAGAGCTTTAGGCAGTTATAAGCCGCCATGTGGATTCTGAGAACCAAACCCAGGTCCTCTGCAAGAGCGGGAAGTGCTCTTTATTGCTAAGCCCTCTTTCTGGCTCTGGAGTACATTTTTTAACTTCTCTGGGAATTATTTTTCTTTACCGAACAAAGGGGGTGATAATCATCTCCCAGGGATGGTGTGGACTTAGATGGTAGTGCAAAGAACAGAACGTGATACATAGTAATCCTTGAATAAACACCTGCTGTCGGGCCTGTAGTCAGCAGCACCATTATGCTAGGGGGAATTTTCTTCATTCTGGAGTTTTCCAGAGCTGCCGTGTCGTCCTGCCTTTGTCCACCTTCCCCTTTCTGGAGTGAGAATATTTCTTCACGGCCTCAGCTCCAGCATTGTCTTTACGGGATGTTCCCTGCTCCTGGTCTCTGGGCTGAGGTGCCATATGTCCTTACCATCTTGGTCTTCCCCAGTGGATACTCCTATCAATAGGACCTCAGCAGTTGTTGGCTGCCACACTGAGGTCTAGTCTCCGTGTCCTGGGCCTTACTGCAGGGGGATGAGTTGACTCCAGCCAAGAGACTTCCTGAAGTTCAGAGTTGAGCCTTGAAGGGCCTGGGAGAGTTGGCTTTCTAGCAACAAAGAAGGTGCCAGAGTATGCTGGCCCTAGCTGGCTGGCTTTTGTGGAATATAATACAGAACCAAACTGGGGATCTCTGAGTACCATCAAATTGGGATTTTCTTTCCGAGCATTGTCAGTCCAGGAGGCCTTCAAGGAGAGGAGCTGTTGAGCTAGGACTCCAGGCTTCGGGTGTAGCAGGAGGGCAGAGCAGCAGGGGAAGAGGCTGGCTAGAAGATGGATGTGCTGTTGGTTTCTTCTTAGAACTGGAGGGGTGTGCTTAGTGGCTGAGGCGGGGGAGGAGAGGAAAGACTGGGAGGTGGAGGACCGACTGGAGCCTTTGCTGAAGTGCAGTTGCTGTGGAGTGCTGGCAAGGTTTGTTTTCTGTTTTTGTTGTTTTGAGTCAGGCTCTGGCTCCACTGCTCAGTGTGACCGCAAACTCCTTAGCTGAGTGATCCTCCTGCCTCAGCCTCCTGAGCAGCTAGGGCTACCAGCATGTGCTTTGTGCCCAGTTATCTGACCCTTTAAGTAAAGCAAAACTAAATCTGTTGGGTTTTCCAAAGGAAGTCTGTTGGGTGCCGCTGCATCCTTCAACACCTGCTAACTGGCTATAGTTTTTAAGTACTTTACAGTCATGGCAACTCCTGACTGGAATGTAATAGTTTTCATTGAATTTATTTAAATTTCATTTCTTTACTGACTTTTTCATTCTATTTATTTATCTGTTGGTGTGTGTGTGTGTTTGGTGTGTCTGTCTGTCTGTCTCTTGAGGGGCTGGAGGTGGGTGAAGTAGACGAGGTGGCATGCTAGGACCCAAATTCTGTCATCAGGCCTGTCACCAGCATCTTTACCTTCTGAGTCACTGGTTGGTGACAGTGTCCCACTGGCCTTTAAATGTGTTCTTATTTGGGAAGAGGCGTGGTTTCAGAGGATGACTAAAGTCAGCTCTCTGCACCTTCACGTGGGTTCTGGGGACAGAACTCAGCAGGTCACCGGCTTGCGTGGAGAGCATTTTACTGACCAAGCAGCTGTAGCCTTTGTGTCTATTTTAAGTTACGCATTTCTGTGAACCACTGTTGTCTGCTGTTTGTTTTTTGTTTGCGTTTTGTTTAAGACAGGGTCTCGTTTAGCTGAGGCCAGTCTTGAATTCCTGAGTCTTGTCTCCCACCTTAAGTGCTAGAATTGCAGGCATGCATCTCTACTCCCAGCACAACATTGGTTGGTTTTGTTTTTGTTTTTCGAGACAGGGTTTCTTTATATTCTGGCTGTTTAGGAACTGACTCTGTAGACCAGGCTGGCCTCGAACTCATAGATCCACCTGCTTCTGCCTCCTGAGTGCTGGGATTAAAGGTGTATGCCACCACTGCCTGGATGTTCTTTTGTTTTTGGAGGCAGGGTCTCTCTACAAAGCCCTCTCTGTCCTGGAACTCATTATATAGACCAAACTCACAGAGGTCCACCGGCCTGTACCTCCTGAGTGCTTAAAGGCATGCACCATCATGCCTGGCCCACCTCAAGTTCTAAAGTAGCCTAGACTAGTGGGTTCCAAACCAGTTTGGGCTACAAAGTGAGTTCAGACCAGCCTGGGCTACAGTGTGATATCCTTTCTCAAACAAACCTAAAAAGGTAAACCCATGTTACACACAGAAATAGACAGAGATAGCAAGATAGATCAAGGACATAGTAATCCCTCTTCCAGTCTAAGGCGCCCAGTGCTCATCCCCAGCCTGCTGCTCTGCCTGCACATCTAGTTCAGTGGGAATTCCCTGGCTTGCCTTTGAATATTACAGAAGACTGTGGAGTCTCGTGGAGAAGCTTCAGGAGAGCTGGGGAAGGTTACTTAATTGGCGAACCTTCCACTCGCTGTGTGTTGGACTCGTCGAGTCTTTGGAATGCTGGAGTCGGACTTGTTTGCTTTCGGAGTCTGTGTGTTTGCGTTTGTTTCCCAGTGCCTGGGACCCACCAGGCCTTCCATAAACAGTGAATAAATGCAGAATGGCGGATGAGTTGTTACGGGAGCACACGTAGTGGCAGCCTGGCTTGATGTCAACACATGCAGTAACTAACCTGGACTTCACACCTGCCTTTAGTGTGTTGGATGCTAGGGTCCAGAGGTGAAAAAGGCCAAATCTGTGCCTTGACATCCTAGTGAGGCAAACTCCATAATCCAACAGACGGAAAATATCGGGGCTGTAAGTCCAGACAGAGTAAGCTGCCAAGTTCCTGTGAGCTATCATAACTTAGGGAGAGAAGTCAAGGAGCCCAGAGGTAGAGTCTGGGGGCTGCTCTCAGATCCCTTTGGCATTATTACATCAAATAATGTGTATGGAATTTGTAGCTATCTGGCAAGCACTTTATAGGTTGTAAGGTCCATGAACTGTAATTACTTCATTTGATCTCAGCAGCCCTGCAAGCAGCCTGAATCACTATCTTCAGTTTGTAACTGAAGGTCTTCCTGACTCAGGGAGAGGAGTGGACTTGCCCAGGGTCTTGCTTCCAGTTAGCAATGAGGTGGGGTCCTAAGTCCAGTCCTTTGGCTGGAGCCAGAAGATTCTTGTCATCCATAGGACTAGCTCTGGTGAGTGTTGACATTGTGGGTTCCTTGAGAATTGTGGCTGAGGACTCTGTCTCCTCCCTGTGGCTGGCAGGTGCTATGACAAGCGTCTGTGGCCTAGGATGGACCTAAGCAGGAGGAAGTCGCTGACCCCACCCATGCTTAGTGGGGTTGTCCGCCGCCAGCCCCGAGCTCTGGACCTCAGCTGGACAGGTGTCTCCAAAAAGCAGCTCATGTGGCTTCTGAACCGACTGCAAGGTAGGGAGGGCTGGTGGTGAGTCAGGACAGGGTGAGCACAAAGCGGGGTGCCCCATAAAGTTCCAGCACCTGCTTCCTGACCTTGTTTCTAGGCCTGCAAGAGTTGGTGCTTTCGGGGTGCTCCTGGCTTTCTGTCTCTGCCCTGGGCTCAGCTCCACTGCCGGCATTGCGGCTCTTGGATCTCCGTTGGATTGAAGATGTCAAAGACTCCCAGCTTCGTGAGCTGCTGCTTCCTCCGCCAGACACTAAACCAGGTTTGACCAGCACGTGTTCCTTTGTAGATGGCTTAGGTAAAGTGGAGGGGTAGCTCTGAAGGCCCTTGTGACATGCCAAGCTTTAGCACAGGAATGGAAGGAAAGAGGACTTTGAATAGGAAGGCCTGTCTTCCCATTTTCATTCACTCGAGATGCTGCTGTGCGCCAGGAGCTAAGTCTCAAAAGCACAGGGAAGGAAAGGCCCCATGAGAGTAGTGGTGCTCAGACACCCTCCCGCCCCAGTCCTCTTCATACCAGAGCCAGGAAGACCACCCAAAGGGGCATCTGTTTGTGTCCCATGCTCTAACTCGTTTTCTCTCGCTCTGAATAAAGACCACTTTTTTGTTTTCCATGCCTAGGGCACACAGCACCCTGTGCATGTTAAGCCATCACTCTACCACTGAGCTTACAGCTTTTGTTGTTACTGTGGTTTTACACAGTGTCTTATTATGTAGACCAGGCTGACCTCAAACTCACAAGGGACCAGCTTGCTTCTGTCTCCCATGCTGGAATTAGTGTGAGCCACCACACTTGACCATTTCTTGGTTTTTGGTTTTGAGACAGGTTTTGTTCTGTAGCCTAGACTGGCCTGGACCTGTGATACTCTGCCCCCTGAGTACTGGGTTCATACACGTGGACCACCATCCTTGCATAAAACCAGTATTTTCACTGTGGTAGCTGAGGACTGGCTCAACTGATCTCCTGCCTCATACCATCCCTGTATGTTGACTACTTCAGCCTGGCCAAGTTCTCTCCAATCCTGGGGCCTTTTCCTTCCCCTGTCATCTTCACCTCTTATGCCGGACCGTTCTTCATCTAATTAACAGTGTCTTTTCAAAATTCTTTAGAGGAGAAGATGAAGACGTGACACTTTGTTTTGTTTTACATTTTACATCTCTGAAGCCATGAATTCATGGGGAAGAGGTTTCAGCACACACAGGTTCTTTCTGTTGACTCTCAGCAGAGCAGGGCAGGCTGGGTCTTTAATGGAACCTAAATTCCTTTTTTTTTTTTTTAAGATTTACTTACTTATGTATACAATGTTCTCTCTGCATGTATTCCTGCAACCAGAAGAGAGTACCAAATCTCATTACAGATAGTTGCGAGCCATCATGAGGTTGCAGGGAATTGAACTCAGGACCTCTAAAAGAACAGCCAGTGAGTGCTCTTAACCTCTGAGCCATCTTTCCAGCCTGGAACCCAGATTCTTTAATCTTCATCTTCCTTCTTTTTCTGACCATTTCTTCCATTTCAGGAGCTGTCTTAGCTACTTAACAGGCTCACTTCTATGACATACACTAATGGGTCCTGCCCTTTTCCCCACAAGTTCTAAATGACCTTTCTTCCTCTGGCGGACTTGGCCTGTGGCCAGTCTGTAAATGTGCTCCTCCTCGAGGCTGTGAGCTGTTTGGAGGGGAGAACTCAGGGCTTGCCGAGTTGAATGCCCACAGAGGAAGTAATGGAAGCAATGTTTGGGTTCCAGACCTTAGTGGCACCAACAGCCTTGATGCTGCCATTCATTGTCAGGGTAAAGTAAGCGTGGGTTTTCACAAAAAAAAAAAAAAAAACCCTCTGATCTATACTGAAATGTCACTTTTAGGGGCTGAAGAGATGGCTCGGTGGCTGCTTTTCCACAGGAACTTTGAATCCTGGTACCCACATAGTCGCTCACAACCATCTGTGACTCAAGTCTCAGGGCATCTAGTACCCTTTTCTGACTTCCTTCGGCACTGCACACAGATAGCATACCTGCAAGCAAAATACCCATACATTTATTAAACCATTTAGCTGAACAGTGGTGGTGCACACCTTTAATCCCAGCAATCGGGAGGCAGAGACAAGCCAGCCTGGTCTATAGAGTGAGTTCCAGGATAGCCAGGGCTACATGGAGAAACCCTGTCTGAAAAACAACACAGCAACAACAAAAGATACCCTTTTCAATGTATTGTTAGTCATTTTCTGACGGCTTTAAGCCACGCTGGGTGTGGTGTGGCCCACTTTGTAGTTCCAGCTTCTGAGACAGAAGCAGGGAATAATGTACCCTTGAAGCCAGCCTAAGCTAAAATTAAGATTCTATCTTAAAAATAAATTTTAAATAAAGAGTAATAATTCTAACTGAAGCCTAGTAGTCCATTCCTGTGATTTGAGCTACTCAGGAATTTGAGGCAGGAGTATCAGGAATTCAGGGCAAGCCTAGGCAGCTTAGAAAGTGGTCTTAGAAAGTAAATAAGGACACTGCTTATTGGAGAACGTTCACCTAGTGTGCATGAGGCTGTAGGTTTGACCCTGATCCCCCCCCCCCCCCCACATACATACAATTTTCAGCAGTGTGCAGATGCCACAGGACAGTTTTGGAAACTTGCCTTGTTAGTCTGTGACATATGATGTTTTTCTCAGAGTCAGGCTGGTGCCTGGCAGGTGATGGCCTTGTGATCAGGGTCCTGGCCGTGTGACTTCTTAAGCATGTGCTCTTGGACAGGTGATGTTGTGATCCGAGCCCCACGGTTCTCACTTGGTGATAGAGGTGATCAAAATAGGGACTTGGCTTCCTTTTTAAAGCTTTTTCATTTTCCTTCTTTAAAATTATATGTATATATCTGTTTATGGGTATATGCACATGGGTGCAGATGCTCATATAGGTTAGGGGTGTCAGGTGCCCCCAGAGCTTCAGATACAGGTGGCTGGGAGCCTTCTGATGTGGGTGCTAGGAATTGAACTCAGGTCCTCTGGAAGAACAGTGTGTGTGCCTAACCACTGAGCCATCTCTGAAGTCCCAAGGCTTGGCTTCTTTATTTGTTTTGTTTGGTTTTGGTTTTGGTTTGGTTTTTAGAGACAAGATTTCTCTGTAGTTTTGGAACTTGCTCTGGAACTCTCTCTGTAGACCAGGCTGGCCTTGAACTCACAGAGATCTGCCAGCCTCTGCCTCCCCAGTGCTAGGACTAAAGGCCTGTGCCACCACTGCCTGACCAGGGCTTGACTCTTAGAGTGTAGTTTCAGGCCCAGCAGTGTTACCACAAGAGAATTTGAAAAAAAAGTAAACCTGAAATCTTGGGCCTCATGCTAGACCTGCAGCAGTTCTGGGGTGGGGCCAGCAGCCGTGTGGAGTGGGAGAACACTGACCTCTCCCCTGGAGACAGAAGAACAGGAGGCCTCTGGACTCATTCTGCAGTGGCCTGCAGTCTTTTGAGCATAGGTCATTTCATCAGGGTTTGTAGACAGCCATTTTTGGAATGTAGCTTCTGAGTGCGGTAATAGAGTTAGGTTCAAAGCGGAAGCAAAGATAGGAATCAGTGTTCTATCAGGAAGTTATCCTGTCCTACTTAGTTTCCTATCGCTGTGATAAAACATGATCAAAGGAACTTGAGGAGGAAAGGGTTCATTTTTTTCATTATAAAGTCAGAGTAGGAATTCACGGCAGAAACTAAAACAGAGCCCCTGGAAGTATACTGCTTACTGGCTTGCTCTCCATGGCTTGCTCAGCTTGCATCTGTTATACCCAGGTCTACTTGCCCAGGTGGTGTCGCCCACAGTGAGCTGGGTCCTTCCACATCAGCCATTCATAGGAACACACCACACAGACTTGCGTGCGGGCCAGTCTGATGGAGGCCATTCGTCAGTTGACCGTCTCTATTTGAAGATGATTCTAGCTTGTGTCAAGTTGACAAAGATAAAAACAAAAAAACCTAACCAGCACATACCTCCAAGAAGATTTCGAGTAGAGGAGAGAGCAATATTATCCCTTTTGTGTTTGAGAGTGGTTTCTTGATACCAGAAAGTAAATCAGGCATAGTAGCATCCGGGAGGTAGAGGCGGGAGAATCTTGCTAGCTTGAGGCCAGGGAGGTCCGGCCATCCAGAGTGATGCAGCAAGGGTGTGGGAGGGTCTCTGCCCTCAGACCTGGTTCCTGGTGGAGGAGAGGAGTTGAAGCACGACTGTTGTTGAGCCAGAATCTGACCTCACTGGTCATGGGGCGAGCAGGGTGCTGTTGGTTGGATTATTATAAAGTTGCTGAGCATCCTACTGGGACAGAGCAGTGGGCAAAAGTTCTTGCTTTTTTGGAACTGACATTTTTATGTAGGGAGAAAAAGATCCCTGAGGAAAAAATGTATTCAGTGCATCAGATACTGGGGGTGGGGGTCATGAGAGGAATGTTAAGACTTAGCTCTCATGGGAGGCTCCCTGGGGAGATAGGAGCAGTGGTCATCTGACGTTGGGTGCTATGGGTGTTGGGAAGAGCAGGTCACGCGGAGCAGCAGGGGGGGGTCTCATGCTGGGGGCAGGTGTGGGGCAGACAGTGGAGAGCATGAGGGTAATGGCCAGGGTAGGAGGAACCTTGGGTACCAAATTCTACTTTGTCTGCCCAGGGCAAACGGAGAGCCGAGGTCGGCTGCAGGGAGTGGCAGAACTTCGCTTAGCTGGCCTGGAGCTCACTGATGCCTCCCTGAGGCTCCTGCTGCGCCATGCTCCCCAGCTCAGTGCCCTGGATTTGAGTCACTGCGCCCATGTCGGGGACCCAAGTGTCCACCTCCTCACGGCTCCCACTTCCCCTCTCCGAGAGACACTGGTGCACCTCAATCTCGCTGGTAAGTGGGATCCCCTGTACGCCTTGCTTGCCTGGCGGTGTGGGTTCCCTGTGTATTGCCTACTACCGACCCTAGTCTCAGTGGTACCGCTTTATCCCCAGGATGCCACCGTCTCACGGACCACTGCCTTCCACTGTTCCGTCGCTGCCCACGTCTTCGCCGCCTGGACCTACGCTCCTGCCGCCAGCTCTCACCTGAAGCTTGTGCCCGGTTGGCAGCTGCTGGACCCCCTGGCCCCTTTCGCTGCCCAGAAGAGAAGCTACTTCTCAAGGACAGCTAGTTGGGTGCCTGTATTCCCATCCCCCAGGACTCCACACGAGCGCCTGGACCTGGCGCCTTCATTTCACCCCCTGTTGGGAGGCCAGGTTATTTTCCTTCATGACTTGGCTCTCCCCTAAGTTTAATGACTTGGGATTCCTGCCCAGGGACTTGAGCCAGCCTTCCCCTTCTCTCCCACCTGCACTGATATCTCTGGGGGTCTTTGCTTCCATCTCTCCTTTCCACCTGCTTCATTGTCCGTCCCCTTGGGGGAGTGGGTCAAGGGGTACTGGGGAGGTGCTGAGCCAGAGGGATGGTGGGGGGGGGCCGTGAAGGCGCAAGTAGGGAAGAATGAGGGGAAATGGTATCTTGCACACAGGATACTGGGAGCCAGGGGGCTGGGGGAGGTGAAGAATGGGTGTGGGGAGGGCAGAAAGCAGACCAACAACGGTTCATGGAACAAAGACCAGTTGGGTGGGATGGGGGGCCAAAAAGGGGAACCAGAGGAGCAATTGAGGATCCAGGTATCGGACAGGGGGCTCTAGAAGCCAGGAAATGCCAGGACATGGGCCTGGGAGAGGAGCAGATAGGGGGATAGTACCCTCTCTGTGGGGTTACCCCTCGCCCCTTCCTTCCACCCAGATTTTAGTTCTTTCCCTCGCCCTGACTCCTTGAACGTCACTGAAAATGGCAGCTATTGCAAGGAGTAGGGGCCATGGGCCTACCTGTTGTTCTGCTCATGGTCCAGGGGAGTGGTGAGGGGTAGCCCAAACCCCTGCCTGGCTCTCTACACAATACTTGAACATTCATCTGTACTGAAGTGTTACTTGAACCGGGGGAACCTCGGACCTGGGGGAGTGTGATGTGAGGGGACCGGCTTGACCAAGACTGAGCTAGTGGGTACCCAGTTTGGACTTCCCACCCCCAGCTCTCTTGCTTTACTGTCTTGAACAGCTCCACCCCTCCGACCTGAGTTGGGGTGGGGGATTTCAGCTTAAAGATGGGCAAGATGGGACTTCTCCAGTTTGGCTCTTCCCATTCTTTCATCGTCATGGAAACTGTGTCCCATTTGCCCAGGGAACTGCCACTCCTGGTTGCCGTGGAAATAGCAGCTAATGGACACCTCCGGAAATCAGTGCTAAGACTGGAACTGGTCCCTCTTAGTTGCTGTGGGAACTTAGTAACAGACCCTTGGCACCTCCCCTCTCCCCACCCCTTTTCTTCTTTCAGTGTGGGGGTGGGGTCTCAAGAGCCTGAGGGAGGAGTCGGGTCCAGGTCCCACTCAACTTAGGCCAGGGGGAACTGGATTGTACCACATGGGGGTGGGGGGAGGGGAATCTATCCACATACCTCAGGTAACAGGAAGGTGCGCGGGTTGGGGGCGGGGGCTGGGCGGACCAAAGGCGGGGGGGAGGGGGGCCTGGGGTTGGAGAAAGGCTTGACGAAGGGGCAGCTTGAGGGAGGGGAGGATGCACCCCGGCAAGGGGCAAGTGGGGTACCCAGCCGGGCTGGACCCCCCTGAACCCCCAAGTCTGTACAATATGGTTTGCTATAAAACTCAGAATCTTCTAGCCGGGGCCGCTGACTTCCTGTGTCTGTCTGCGGTGTCGAGTCTGGTGGGTTAGGAAGACGGAAGGGGCTCGCTTCCCTGAGATGCCCGTGCAAGGAAAGACTGGACGTCTGGGAACCTGGGACTGCCCAGGTGTACTTTGGGTGGTCTGAAGTCGGCGAATTCCCAGACGGAAGCTGTGGGCGTTCACCCTGGTAGCTCGAAGGCACTGGGCTATTTTTGGTGGCCTGGGTCGTGGGGTTCCCTCGGGATCTCTGCCCACGGGCCAGATTGCTTGGGGTTCGGTCTCGGCTCCACCCAATCATGTGGTCGTGGGACTCCGCCCCTGCCCCAGTTCCTGCTTCGGTCCCAGGGCCTTATAGACACCCGCTTCTGCTCCCGCTGGGGCTGGCAGAGATGGGGTCCCGCCCGCGCTTGGACCAGCCCTTCTTGGGGTCCCAAGGCGCCTCGGCTCCTCCGTGACGGTCGGCGCGGGTGGAGTAGCCGCTCTCAGGATGAAGGGCGGCGAGGGGGACACGGGCGAACAGGCCCCGTTGAACCCGGAGGTGGACAGCCCCGCGGGCTCGGCCACATACCGGGAGTTCGTGCACCGCGGCTACCTGGACCTTATGGGGGCCAGCCAGCACTCCCTGCGGGCGCTCAGCTGGCGCCGCCTCTACCTCAGCCGGGCTAAACTCAAAGCCTCCAGCCGCACGTCTGCTCTGCTGTCGGGCTTCGCCATGGTGAGGGGCGGGAAGGGGCACACGGGGTGGGCGAGGCACGGGGTGGACTCCGGGTCGAGGAGCCAAGAAAACGGGCCCCAAGGGAGTGCGGGACGAAATAGAAGGGTTTCTTTAGCGTCATGGAAGGAGCGAAATCTCAAGAGACTGGGAAAAGCCCTTTATGTCAGGGACAGGGTTGTCGTAGGCACGGCCTTAAGAATATAAACGGCTGAGGAAGATCGATCCAGGGGTGTCACGGAAGAAGGGAATGACGAGGTCTGCGAGAGTAGACTGGTGGGGAAAAGGTCTGTTCTCACAGAAGTCGCTTAGTTACCAAGTCCGCGAGAGTTGAAAGGCCAGTCGAGCTGAATGAGAGCTGTTAGCAGCCAGGTCAGGGGAAGAGGGCTGGGGCATGGAAGATGCCCCCACCTCTCAGAAGGCTCGAGGAATGCTAGAGTTGCCCCGAAAAGTAAGAAGCCGGCGAGGAAGCTGCTGGGGAAGGAAGCTGGTCAGGGAGCTAACGATGGAGTCTGATAAACCGCAGGTGTGGGAGGATAATATCAACTAACGGTCCCAGCAGCGGCCTCAGGAAGTGGGACTGAAGAAGATTCCAGGGTGCAGAACACAGATGTGTCCTGGTTCCTCCCTACTTCGGGCCAGCTGTGCGACCCTGAGCCGACCTCCACTCCCGTTGCCGTCGGTAGGAAGTTGTGAGATCATTGAGGTTGCTGCCTCTGTGGTTTGCCAAACTTGTCCAGGAGGAGCTGAAAGTGTTCTAGAGCTAGGTGTGTCGGGATGAGCTCCACTTACCAGAGGAACTTCAGAGCCACGTGCTAAGTGGCCTGGGGGGAAGCTTTCCCCTGCTGAGTGCCCTGTCAAAACATCAGCTTCTAGGTTTTCTTCACAGGATTGGAGGGGCGGGGAGGAGAGAGCCGGCCTGGAGGCAGGGCATCCTCAATGTATCCTTGTGTAAGACATTGGAGGGAGTTCAGGTGAGGTCATGTAAGAAGTAACTTGGCTTACTACCTCCCTTTGTTCTGCAACCCTGATAACTGAATGAAAAATCTAACCTAAAGGTTGTTCTTGGTCTGTGGTGTTTCTGAGGGGCTGAGACTCCCCAGAGAAGCCCACTCTGTCTGGTGAAGATGACATTTGACGTAAGGAATCGACTCCCCATTATCACCAGAAAGTTTGAGGGAGCCCAGCCCACGTCTAAAGAACAGTTCAGTCTGCGGATCTTGCAGATCACTGGGATGGCAGCAGAAGAGTCAGGGTCTTCCCTGAGGATCAGCAGGCTGGATGTGTGGGTTTGGGAGCAGGGACTTGCCCAAGTCCTGCGGAGAGAAGACTGGGTCAGACCCCTGGGAGAAACCAGAACTAAGGCTGGCCCAGATCCCTGTGTGTGAAAACCCCTGCCTACTGTCTGCCATGGCCTAATTTCCCAAAATATTCCACGTTATTTTCTAAACGCCACTGCTGTCCTGCACCTTCTTTTCTAGGCCCAGTACAAATCTCCGGATCCTTACACAGAAATGAGGGGAAATCCTCTTAACCCCCAGGTGGCCTGAGATAGGTTAACAGTATATAAATTGTATCCAAAGGCTATGGATGTAGCCTAGGTGGTAGAGTGTTTACCCTTCCGGACACCCTAGGTTCATTCTCCAGCAGAAACTAGACATGGTGGAACACACCTATAATCCCAGCACTTGAGGTAGAAAGGAAAAGCAAGGCTTTGGGCTATACAGAGAGTTTCTAGGCTAACCTGGGCTCCACGAAATCCTTTTTCAACAAGCATTCAACACTAGCAGGTCCAGTGTGTGTGGAGCAGGTGTGGCTAGACTGTCAGCTTTTCAGCTGACACAAGGTCCAAGATGTTGGGGCCCAACCAGCTAGGGACAGGATTTGGACTCAGCAGCCTGGCTTTAGAGCCCAAATTTGTACATCAGCTCTAATGTTTGCAAACCCCAGGCTTGCTGGGTGGAGTCACACGGCCAGGCGACCCCTGACCTGTCAGAAATGAGCAGCTGTGATTCAGTTTGGGTAGTTTAAATTTTTGAATGTGGATCTGATGTCACTGGATCTGCCAAGTTTTTAGATTGACTTGGAAACTTATGAAGCTTCGTCAGTTTTAGGAGTTGGCAACTTTTTTCTGAGTGCCTTGGAGGCTAGCATCAGCTCTATTAAAGCTCGGTCTGTGCCTGGCTCTCTCTGTGGCAGCTAATATGTATTATCTGAACATTCTCAACGAGCCTACTAGCCACATTTTTTTTCCAGGTAGGAAATCGAGGGAGGCACTTGCTCAAAGATTACACAGCTGGCCAAGGTAGCACATAACTGTAATCCTGCTCACTGAAGCAGGAAGATAGTGAATTTGAGGCAAGTCTTTGTGGGGATTACAGATTGTAGAGCTAAGAATGGATCCGAGCAGCCCAGAGAGGTTTTGTTTTGGGCTTTTGTAACTTTTTTTTTCTTTTTGAGATTTTGAGACAAGGTTTCTCTGTGTAGCCCTGGCTATCCTAAAACTCACGCTGTAGACCAGACTGGCCTCTGACTCTCTGCCTTTGCTTCCTGAGAGCTGGGATTAAAGGCCTGTGCCACCGCTGCCCGGCTGATTTATTTATTTACTTAATATAGATAGGGTCTCTGAGTAGCCCTAGGTGCACCTCTTTAGCTCTGAGTTTAAAGGCACTTTTGGGTTCTTTGGAAACAAAGTTTCAATATGTAGCATAGGCTGCTCAAGCCTGAGATCAGCCAGTCTTAGCTTCCCACGGGGTGAGCTAATAAATGTGTCACCACACCAGCCTGAGTCCGCTTTCTTTGTTCATTCATTCATTCATTCATTCACTTTTTGTGGGTTGGAGACAGAACCTAGAGTCTTGTGAGTGCTAAGCAAGGCCCTACCACTGAAGTGCATCCCCAGCCTCTGAGTCTATGCTTTGTTGTTGTTGAAGATTTATTCATGTGTATGGCTGTTTTGTCTGCCTGCACCATGTGCTTGTGTGGTGTCATGTGTCCTCTGGAACTGGAGTTACAGTTGTGAGCTGCTATGTGGGTGCTGGGGATTTGAACCAAGGTCCCCTAGAGGAGCAACCAGTGCTCGTAACCGATACGCCATTTCTCCTACCCGAGTCTGTGCTTTTTTAACCCATATGCTATAACCAGGTAAAAACTCAGAAAAATGTTAGCTTGATGGTGAGGTGGAGAGCTCAAAGTACAGGGCACAGCAGAGCCTTTTAGTTAGGGCTGTGAGTAACTGAAAGGCATGGTGGCTTATCCCAGCACTTGGGAAAACTGAGGCAGGAGGATCAGTTTCAGCTTGACTTGGGCTGCCTAGCAAATTTCAAACAGGTGGGCGGAGGTGGCACATGCCTTTAATCCCAGCACTTGGAAGGCAGAAGCAGGTGGATCTCTGAGTTTGAGGCCAGCCTCCTGCTGTACAGAGTGAGTTCCAGAACAGCCAAGGATACACAGAGATACTCTGTCTCTCTCGAAAAAAAACAAAAAACAAAATGAAACAAAACCAAAAACCGGCATAGGCACACACACACACACACAACCAGTAAGACCCTACTCAAAGAAAGGGGGTGGGGTGGGCAGGGGCAGCTGAGTATCTTCTTCTAGGCACTGTTCTAAGTTTGCTCAACAGGCAAAAGGAAACACCTGACAAGGCTGTCACAGGGACTCATGTCTCCCTCTTGTGCCCACAGGTGGCCATGGTGGAGGTGCAGCTGGAGAGTGACCATGAATACCCCCCAGGCCTGCTGGTGGCCTTCAGTGCCTGCACCACCGTGCTGGTAGCCGTGCACCTCTTTGCACTCATGGTCTCCACGTGCCTGCTGCCCCACATCGAAGCCGTGAGCAACATCCACAATCTCAACTCTGTCCATCAGTCACCGCACCAGCGACTCCACCGATATGTGGAGCTGGCCTGGGGCTTCTCCACTGCCCTGGGCACCTTTCTCTTCCTAGCTGAAGTTGTTCTGGTGGGCTGGGTCAAGTTTGTGCCCATTGGGGCACCCATGAACAAACCAGCTCCTGTGGTACCTATGTCCCAGGTGCCACCAGTGACCCTTAGTTTACCTTCCAACCTCACTCCGTCCTCTGCTTCTGTAGCCACACCACAGCAGCCTTCCAAAGCCTGTCCACCCCGACAAGTGTGTGGTGGTGCCCATGGGCCAGGTTGGCAGGCAGCTATGGCCTCCACAGCAATCATGGTACCTGTGGGACTGGTGTTTATGGCCTTTGCCCTGCATTTCTACCGATCCTTGGTGGCCCACAAGACAGACCGTCACAAGCAGGAGTTGGAGGAACTCAGTCGCCTGCAGGGGGAGCTGCAGGCTGTGTGAGCCTGGCTTAGACTCTTGGAAACATTGACGCCCCGTGTCTGCAAGGGATCCCAGGGACCTACAGACCTCATTCGTTGCCCCAGACTTGAGCCACGTACTGTAAACTACTCTCAGGTAGAGGCCAAATTCCTGCACAGCGTCCCACACTCCCAGGGATATCCCGTTACCACAGCCCAGTGGATTTTGTAAGCTGCACCTTGCCTAGCTGGAGAAAGGAAGTAGAATGGTCTCAGTAGAGGCCCTAGCGGGGTCTTCAGTGGTGCTGAGCATTTGCTTGCTCCTCCGCAGGAAGGTGACATGCCCGCACACCTGTCCTCCAAGGCAGTCAACTCTTGCTTATGTATAATCTATTTCACAGTTGACATCCTGGGAGGGTTTTTTGCCGGTCATGGTTTTGATGGGTTCCCCTTTCCCGACTGGGCTGCTGTAGGTGACCTGGGTGTCTGTCCCTAGGATGAGCCACTTCCCACTTGGTGACTTGTGGTGGTGCCTGTCCCACTGCCCTAGACTCATCTGTTCCCACCTCTTTGGCCAGAGCTGGGAGAGGAGGAACCTTTGAAGACTGACTGACTGCTGCCGACTCGACTCCTTGACAAGGTCAGGGGGTTTGTAAGGCAGACAGTTCAGCCCTTAGAACGCAGAGCGCTCCAGATGCTACATTTCCGATAGACCTTTTGTTAATAAACTGTTTCACGTGTTTCTGTGGCTGTGAATGGGTGAAGGGGAAACCTTGGGTAAGGCTGCATGTCCTAAGGGCCAGGTGCAGGTCCCTCAGGGGCGGACAGTCACCCAGAGGCCAGGCCTCTAACTGGTAACTCGGGATGTCATCTGAGTTTCTCCAGTCATCACCTAATCCTGTGGGCCGGGCCGAGTCATACATTATCTGGTTTAGCCCTCACTGCCATCTCAATAAACACGTCTGTCTTTCCCATTTCAGAGAGGCAGCGAAGGCCAGTTACATAGTCTGTGCCTTGATTACCATTATATAGGGATTGCTAAATGAGAGAGAAGGAAAAAAAAAGAAAAGAAAAAGGACTTGGTACCCTTCAACTGGGTCAAAAAAAGAAGCATCTCCTGTGCCTTCATGTAAAGATTTCTTTTGCCAGGCGGTGGTGGTACACGCCTTTATCCCAGCACTTGGGAGGCAGAGACAGGTGGATAGCTTGTGAATTTAAGGCCAGCCTGATCTACAAAAGCTAGTTCCAGGACAGCCAAGGCTATTAAAGAGAAATCCTGTCTCAAAAAACAAACAACCCCCCCAGCCCAATATTTTTAAAGCACAATTCCTGTCATTAGACTTCCGGTGAGAGACCTTGGACAGTCTTTATTATTTGGTTAATTAAAATGTGTAAAACTAGACTCCAATAGTTTTCCTACACTGTCGTGAGGACTGCAGTCTTATGACCAATAGACATCCATTCTTGGATAACTTGACACTAAGGGAGGTCAATTTAATGAGGGACTGCTGTAGAGAGGCCACTTAGGGCATCCTCAGCTCCAGGTAGACCTGGTGAGAATGCCTGGGTGTTCAACCTTGGGGCAATCTCAGCCCCAGGCTCCCAAGTGAAGCCCTAGTTGAGCTTCTGAAGTGCCTATGGCTAACTGGGCTACTATGAGACTTTTACTTTCATAGGACGCACTTAAGGGTTTTTAGGCTTCTCTTAAACTTACATTTTAATTTTTAATTTTTTTTTCTTTTGGTTTTTCTCTCTCTCTCTCATTTTTTTTTTTTTTTTTTTTTTTTTTTTTTTTTTTTTTTGTTTTTTCGAGACAGGGTTTCTCTGTGGCTTTGGAGCCTGTCCTGGACCTAGCTCTTGTAGACCAGGCTGGTCTCGAACTCACAGAGATCCGCCTACCTCTGCCTCCCAAGTGCTGGGATTAAAGGCGTGCGCCACCATCGCCCGGCTCTCTTAAACTTACCAGAGTGAACCCTAACAGTTTTAGATCTAGTTACACTTCCCTTCGGCCTGTTCGTCCCTGTTTGTCAAACGGACATTTTAAAACGGGCCCAAGGGAGGTGTAACTAGGGTGCTGGCCTAGCATGCAAGAAGCCCTAGGTTAGCTATCCAGCATCCTATAAACCGGTTATGGTGGCGCACACCTGTAATCCCAGCCCTCAGGAGATAGAGGCAAAAAGATCAGGAGTTCGGGGCCATCCTCCGGTGCACAGCAGGTTCGGTGCTACTATGTCCGAAATACAACAGGGGCCCGAGCAGAAGAGCGGCAAGAAACCGATCACCTCATGTGCGCGGGCAGGGAAAGTGCCTGAGTCACCGCTCCTGGTTGTATTTTTCCACCTCCCATCCCGCCCAGGTTTTGGTGGATTCTACGGGAAGTAGCCCGTTACGCTGGGCTTCGCACGCCTGGCCACGCCTCTCTGCGCGGCGCGCTAGCCCCACCCACAACGGGATCCGCAGATTCGCTACAAGACACATTAGGATTATTTGGGAACCTTCCCTGATCTGAAATTTTTCAGGAAGCTCCGGGAAGACTTCTCCCCTGTAACCATTTCGCCCTAAGTCGGAAGTGGGCTGCTGCTTGAGTTGGGCTAGGAAGAAAGACCCAGGAATAGCAGTCGACACTGCCAACGGGGCTTGGCTAACCGGGCGTCATTTTCTCGACTCCAGCGCAGGTGAGAGGAGGTGACGCCAAAGCCTAGAACGGTGGCGAATCTGCACTGCAGCCTCGTAGGCATTCGAGCTGCGCAAGGAAGGGGCAGGGAAGAGCAGCAAAGGAGCGCGCATCCTGTTCACTCATTTGCCCCGCCCGCCTCGCGAATCTGCGTCGTTCGACGCACCACTCAAATCTGCCGAGCTCCGGCTGGCCGCCTCCCCCTCGCTCCGCCCCTCTTTCCTCAGGGGCTCGTCGCAGCTTTCGTCGCCGCCGATTCGTCACGAACCCCAAGGCCGGGGCAGCTGGATGAGGGTGGTACAGTCCACTCTCGGGGGATGCGGCCGATCTTCAGGCTTCCTGGGTTACGACTCCCGAGCTTTACAGGGCGCCGGCCGAGGCAGAGCCGCTCCGCTCGGCCCCGTGGATCGCTCCGCAGTCCTTGTAGCGAAAGTGCGAATGCAGACGCCGCGCCCGCTGGGCCTCGTGCAGGTGGCGGTGGTGTTTGGTGCGCGCGCCGGGGAGGTGGTGGTGGGGGGGCGCCGCCGCCGCCACCGCTGCGGGGCCGGGTCTCGCGCTGCCGCCGCCGCCGCCGCCGCCTCACGCCGCTGAGGTGCTGCGCGCGGTGGGGGGAGGGTGAGCCGCTCGCCACGAGCGGGTGAGTAGGGCCTTGGCGCGCGTGCGCGGAGACGGGGTGGGGGGGCACCGAACGCGCCCGGGCGGGAGGAGAGGGCAGCGGCGCGCGTTACCCGACCCCCCCCCCCCGCCTGGATTCAGGGACCGAAGCCGGGGCTCAGGCTCGGTCTCGCGGTGTTTCCAACGCCCCGGAGGGGTGCCACCTCTGGTCCAGAGGACTGGGGCGCGGGGACGCGAGCGGCCGTGTGGGAGCGGGAGCGGGGCTCGGCCCGGGCCGCTGGCCGGTGAGGAGGCGGGAGGGGGCGGGGCCTGCCAGGGGACGGGGGAGGGGTCTTGCGTGGAGGCCAAGTGGGGCGCGCTAGGGAGAGCGGGAAGGTCTGGGGGCGCGAGCTGGGCCTGGGCCCTGAGGGTAGACTTGGGGGGTGGAGGGGGAACGGAGTATTAGAGTGAACTCGGTCCTCAGGGCCCGATCTGAGGGAGCCGTGGGTCATGCCGAGGTGTGGGAACTGGACTGATGAGGGGGACCTGGAATCCGGGCTAGCCATGGAGGGGGACGGCAAGGGAGTCAGGCCGGAGGCTTGGACCCCCATTGCGTATCCCTCTTTTCCTGACAGTGTAAATGAGCGAGGATGGACCAGGAAGGTGGGGGAGATGGGCAGAAAGCCCCGAGCTTCCAGTGGCGGAACTACAAGCTCATCGTGGATCCGGCTTTGGACCCTGCCTTGCGCCGGCCTTCCCAGAAGGTGTACCGCTACGATGGAGTTCACTTTAGTGTCAGCGTGAGTGCCTCATGGCTTCCGAACTTCCCTGGACCTCGGGGCTGCCCTCCTCCCCCCTCCGCCCTGCCCGGTGTTCAGCACCTAGACCTCCGGGACCTGTAGCTTGTCCTTTGAGAAGGAGCAGGTTATGGCTCTTGCGTATGTGCGTCTCCACTGGCTTCCCGGAGTCGACAGCCTGCTAAGTTTTCGTCCTGGTCACATCGCTCTCTTTTCTGTGCTAGGACTCGAAGTACACACCAGTGGAAGACCTCCAAGATCCCCGCTGCCATGTCAGGTCCAAGAACAGAGACTTCTCCCTCCCAGTCCCTAAGTTTAAGGTACGTGTCTGCTGGTTCTTGGAGCGCGGCAACGGTCCTAGCACCTTGCTCTTGGCGTAGCCTCCCCGAGTGGCTGGCCCAGTGCAACGCTGGCAACCATATTTCCTTGCTTTTGAGTCTGTGAGACTAAGATGTCTGAGACAGGAGGTGTACTTAAATAGCTGAGGTGTCTCTAGTATGTCGCTGGTAACAAGGGTGTTGATGTCTGGAGGCATGAGGTATGGGTGGATGTTCAGAGACAGCGTGACTGGGATACCCTACTTCTTCAGCAGTTAAGGGTACCGCTAAGGCCACTGCCCGCTTGGTGTCCTATGTCTCTCACTGTCATTTGGGTATGTCCTCCCCCAGCTGGTCTGTAAGAGTGGCTCCCTTTCCCACGGTAGATACTCTGCAAGCTTTGCACTGAGCCTAGAAACGTTGGTGGATCTTTGTTTCCTTCCAATTTTGTTTCTTTGTTTTGTTTTATTTCCCACTGAGTTTTAAAGTAATTTATGGGGTGTTTCCCCCCTCTTTCCCTTTCCCTGAGCAGTCTTACTTAAGTTCTATTGGCCTGAATGTTTACTTCCATACCTACTTCCAGCCTCATAAACCCAGACTCCAGAGACCTGAACACATTGTCTTTATTCTCTCAGTCCTTTTCATTCTTCCTCTGCTGATAAATTACAACACCAGATACCCGGGCTCACAACCTAGAAGCCTAGGAGTCACCTGGTAGTTCTTTCCTGTTCATCTTAATCTTTCTCTTCATGCTGAGTCTTACGTTTATTGCACTTGCTGTTTGTGGCTTCCTCCTCAATTTTAGGCTCTTTTGCTGTTATTTGTCTCTGGTTCTGTTCTTATTTTACAAGTATGTATTTTCCCTTTTCTTTCTATTTTTTTTATTTTTTATTTTTCTTTTCAAGACAGGGTTTCTCTGTGTAGCCTTGACTGTCCTGGAACTCACATGTGTTCACACTCAAGCTTGCACACACCATTGTGCACATGTCGAAATTAGAGCACAGCTTGTAGAAACTGATTTTTCACCATGGGGTCCAAGGATCAAACTCAAGCTTGTCAGGCTTGGTGACAAGTGCCTATATCCACTGAGCCATCTTGCTGGCATGCTAGGTCTGTTTTGGAGCGTTGGCATGTGTGGTTATTGATCTGGGCAGGCCTAATCACTTACTTGACTCTATACCCTTGTTATATCCAAACCAGACCAGACCCTCTTCAGTGTTTAGAAAACATCAAGATGGGTTCTGTTGTTTTGGTAAACTTTGAGTTTTCTACAAAGCCTGGTGAGAATGATAGGAAACATCTTTGTGAATCTTTTCCTGACTTTTCTCTGTGAATGATCCTTTTCTTGGCTCCCAGGCAC